TTATGGTAACATTTTGACATAAAAAAGGGAAACGCTCTTCAAATCCTGCCTCTAAATATCAAAATTGGAAGTCAAATTCACCCTACTATCTTCTATTAAGGTGTGTGTATGTAAGAGAAGCAGTAGAATATTGTAACTTCATGCAGTCTTTATGTATAAACATGTTTTGAGGCAATGAAATATCTCAGTTTTACTCATTTTTGATAATTTATTTTTTTCTAACAAAACTATTTTCAGTACAGATAACTGACATATTCCACTATACTTGCACTTGTGAAAATATTTTATTTTCCATCTTTTCTTGTTTTCATACGGTAACCCTTTTAACTGAGAATCTCTGACATTGTTCCAGATTCTTGATTTCAGTGCAGCATGGCACACCAGATTAACCTGTTGGTATTCTTTGATATTTTGTGAAAATTCAGTTCAATTGCACTGCAGTGTCTTACACTGGTTTTGAGCACAGCCTCTTCACTCTTATAGAATAGCTACAAAATTATTTCTAGGAAATAATACAAGTTCAGCCATGCTGCAAGCTAGCCTGCTCTTAACTATATGCAATTGGTGGACTTACTAGCTTAGATGTAGTACTATGTTTGATACAATTTGAGGTCTCTGGCTAGGAGCTGGCTTGAGGCAATAGTATGCCTGACAAGTATGTCTGCATTTAATCACATACATATTCTTATGCTTGCAGTTTTTGCAAAAATATTTGGCTAAGAATAGTTCCATTTTTGTAAAATATTTCATTCACCATATACTTGCATATGTATATCTACACAGACTTGCAAGTATGTATTTGATTTGACCTGGATGATAAGGTTTTCTATTTAATGATTTATGCAACAACATCATTGATCTGAGCTTAAAGGGTGAGTTATTTAGTCATTATTTAATTTGCATATGAAATTATTTGCACTTGTAATGCCACAGTACACACTGGAGCATATACTAACCTTATGAAAAGGCAAGTAAATAATCTGAGTTTTAACATGCAGAAATTCTAGCAGGGATGTGTAGGATGACTGACACTTGGATGAATGTTTTATGCGTGGGTAAGTCAGTCTTACTAGTGATAAAGCAATCTAAATTACTTCAGTTCTCATCTTCTTCCATCACTTTCTGAAGCGTCCAGAAATACTGACAAGTTATTTCACAGTTTATTTGGAAGGGTCTGGAATAATTCATGCCAAAAGAATTGCAGAATATGTTTCTAGAAGACTCTGCATCAGTGGAGTGCAGTATCTGTGAGGAAATTGTTGCTCCCAGATACGGCTTTTCATTTTGGTGGCCGACAATAAGTAACCTTGAGCACTCCAATCCTCTGAGATGACTTTGTAATGAATTAGCATCCAAAAAGGATTACATACTTAACTCCCATCGGGTGTCTGACCGGAGTTTTTTGCAAACTTGTAAACTTCAAGGAGAGTAAAATTATAAAAGTCCTATAGGTTTTTATTTTTTTTTCTCTCTTCTTTTTTTTTTTTTTTTTTTTTTCAAAGTACTTGAGGATTTTGAACCCCTGCACCACGTAGAACGTACATACAGTCTTCTTTTTCCTCATCTTTACTTTTCTGTAAAGCCTGTCATTCCTTTCTAAATGTCATTTTGTACAGCTGCCAGCTATACAAGCATAAATGCAAAATAACTCCTCTAACTATTACATTTACACTGAATTTAGATGATCCTGTCATTGAAACAACATCTGAACTACTACACTCCTATTTAGTTCTGCCAAACAGTTTAGAGCAATGATGTGTATAGAGAAGACTTTTCTGCTAGACATTTGCTAATTTATCTTTGTTGCTCTGTATGCGTAATTATGCAAATACCACTTTTGGAAACTTATTACATTAATTATAGAAGAGAATAAAGGTGATACAATGCTCTCACTAACTTAAATATACAATAGGCATTAGAGTTTCAATGGTGGAAGTGAGAGTAGAATTTATGATGGTAATATTTCTAACCTTCCTAGGAATACTCCAAATAAGCAAAACATAAAATGAGCTGGAAGCATCATCTACCTTTATTATGGGCTTCATCATTCCATACCATCTCACTTCAGTCTTTTAGTATTCTCCTTTTGCCATGTTGAGTTCAATCTATAAACTATTTAAGAGAGAGGACTGTCTCTTCCAGATTGGAAAATCTTCCTGTTTTCCATCTTCTAAAGCTTCTCAGTAAGAAATATAATTTAATACACTGAATTAAAAAATCAACTCCAGTTTGGGTGTTGATTCATTTGTCACGTTCTCCAGCCCTTGACCATCCCAGTATGGTGACCCTCCACTGCATCTGTTCCTGAATTGCACCATCATACTTGTACTGGAGAGCCAGAGTATGCATGTTTTTGTCCTTCTTTGCTTCAAAGTCACAGTGATGCCTCATGTTCAAACTATCTTCTACTAGGACTTCCAGATCCTTTCCTGCAGAACTTTTGCTCACGCAGTCAGCCCCCAGCCACTAGTGTTGCAAAGGGTAACTCCTGCCATTTACTGAACATTGCCCTTGATATAATTGAATGTTTGAGGTTCTGATCAGCCTATTTCTCCAGCCAATCGAAGTCTGAAGAGCAACTCTGCCCTACAGCGTATTGATTCTCCCTCCCCCCACACACCACATTTTAAACTACAAACTGCCTAAAAGTGATATCACTGTCCTACCATCCAGCTTGTTAATAAACACTTTAAACAGTAATGGTCCCAGTACTGGTTCCTGAGGGACCCAGTAGTTATTGGCTTTGTGCTGACTTTGCACCACTATATACAGCACTCTCAAATTTGGCAGTCCAAAAAGTCTTGGAATTTTTCTATATACTTCATGGTCTCCTTGTTCAGCCCATATTTCACTAGTTTGATGATAAAGAGACTATAGGAGACTCTCAAAGGCCTTTCTAAATTCAAGGTATACACATTCACTGCCCTGCCCTTATTCACTATGCCCTTTGTCATAAAAAACAAGTTGATCATGCATGACATCCCCGTGATACACCTATACCAGCTGCTTTCAATTACCTTCTTGTCTTTCATGTGTAAAAAGTGTCTTTTAGGAGGATTTGTTTCCATAGACTTCCCAGACACTGAGGTAAAGCTGACCAGCCTGTAGTAATCTGGATTGACATTTCTGTTTTCCTTGAAGATAGTTGTGGCCTTTACCTCTTTCCAGTATCAGGAACATTTCCTTGATGTCACTTTTCAAAGACAGTAGAGAGTTGACTTGCATTGACATTGGCCAGCTCTTTAAACACCACTTTTGGTACCTGGGACTTGTGCATGTTCAGATAGGTTAAATTGTATTGAACTGTTTTCTATCACATTGTTACTATCTTTTCTTTTGCTACTGATGTATACACATTTGTTTTTGCTTTTCTAGTTGTCTTGTTACTTTCAGTTCCAGGTGAGCTATGTTTTCCCTGACTCCATTCCTACATGTGCAGGCAATGTCTTTGTACTCGTGTCCATTTTCTGTGTGCCTCCACTCTCCATCTAAGCTCATACAGAAGCTCGATGTTCAGCCATGCTGGCTTTTTGCCATGCTTCCTTGCCCTCCTGCACACTGAAAAGGGCCATTCCTGTGGTCACAAAAGACTGTCCTTGAAAATCAGCCAGCTCTCCCATGCCACTTTTCTTTCTGAGATAGTTTCCCATGGGATGCTGCTAAGCAGGTCCTTGAGGAGGCTAAAACTTGCTTTTCTGAAGTCCAGGATTGTAATTCTGTCAGTCTTACCCACTTCCCTTAAAGTCCACAGTCTCAGGGTCATTTCAGATCATTTTCTAAGGAGATTGTGATTTGAAATACCCTTAATAAGATTAACTGTTGCTAAAAGCTACAGTGAAACTGATACTGTGAAAGTATTAGAGATAATTAAAATTAGTTTACTAGAGAAATATTTCTTACAAAAATATTGAAAGCTGCTTTTTTAAATTTTATTTATTTATTTATTTATTTATTTATGTTCTTATGATTGATGACTTGGCTTTTCCCTCCTACCTTTTTTTTTTTCCAGCATACAGCAGAAATGATCAGTGTTTCTTGGTTTTAGCTGCTCTTTCTGTTGAGGAATATATTAATGTATTTATGAGGATTATTATTATTTTTAATATATTTTCCAAACACCCTCCTCATATTACTTTGTGGTTTCTAGTATATTTTTCTTATGTCCCTCTGCTTACCCTACTGATTTTCTTCAATTTGTAGCTCTTAATTTGCATTTAGTAGCATTGCTATCCTTTTTTTCCATTCCTTTTATGCTTTTAATTTATTTTCACTGTTAACCTAGTGTGATTTTTCAATCCAGTCTGATCTCTTCTTTGCACACTTTAAAAAAAATCTTATGTGATTTCTGTATATCGGAGCATTTGTTTCCCTTCTCTCTTTCTCTCTTTTTTTTCCCCTTCCTCCCTTCCTCCCTTCCTTCCTTCCTCTTGCTGAATTTGTGAAAGTTCTAGTTCTTAAAGCACCATGTCTGTGAATTTCAGCAAGACATTTTATTTTATTATTTTTTTTAATTAATTTTTATTTTTGGACTGAGATTAAATGACAATCACTTGTTTCTGAAATCTCACAAGTTTTCCTAAGGGAAGGAGTTTCTTCAAACCCTCTTAAAATAGAGAAGAGATATCTCAGTGTTTTACTTCTTACTGAGTATCAGATATGAGGTACTGTGAACACTTCAGTAATGAAAAAGTTTGATTATCTTGTACACTAGAGGAATCACTGTGAGACATAAATCTATAGAAAACCACTATTTAGGGTCTGCCACTCCCAGAATCACTTGTCAGCACAGTGATGAATTCCTGTTCTCAGGAAAGAAAGGTGTGGGATGTAGAACTACTCCAGCAGATAGGAAGTTTGAGATCAGAGGGTTTGTCTAGGTCAAATAGTTCTTAGAATTTTAATCTCTAACTTATGGTAATGTTGAATAAAAAATGTTAATGAACCAATACTGACCATGTTGGAATCACTTCCAATAATATAAGCATTTTTTACTTATTACAGGTATATGTTAAAGCACTTTGCATTTCCTGAATTCCATCTGCCCTGATAGCTATAAAGGACAACAGCAACTCTGAATTGCACAAACCTCATAAGAGCACTGAAAGGTAAAATGGGATATGCGGTTTGGGAATCAGCTGGCCAAACAGCTGATACCTGCTGAGTTGATGAGGTAGGTCAAGTGAAGTTTAAATTGACTCTAAATGTTAGGGCAGGCTGAGGTTTTTTCTCCTCTCTCCCTGTCATATTTCAGATGCTGACTGCTCAGGCATGAAATTTTGATTCAAGCACGGGTGTGGGTTAACAATTCCTGTCTGCAGGAGACCTGTCTGCAAGAGGAGGAGTATTATGTCTTCAGTGGGTACTGGTTATTCTCTGGATAAATTGTCAGTATTGCATTCAAATGCTTAGTTAAGGTTTAAACTGAAATTTTCAAAGAACATTCATGTTTTTAAGGAAACCAAAGTATTTCTTAGCTATATTTATCCAAGATACATACACCTTCATTCTTAAGATGAGACAAAATGTACAGTTTGTCATTATGATATATATACAGCATATTATGAGAAAATCTATGTAATTTTTACTAAATGTAGTAACTGAATTTCATGAAATGCAAGGCATATCTCTACATATCTCTTTTCTACCTTTGGACCTTCTAATATATTTCATTTTGATCTCAGACTTCAAGGTGAAAGCTTCAAAATCCTTTCTCATAAACCACAGTAATTCTCATAAGAGAATTACTGTGGTTTATGTATTTGAACAATACCATATTTTAAATATAAGGACAAACTTATCTGTTTCTTTATGATGTTTATGATGTTGATAATGGCTTTACCATTCAGTGGGACAACCCCAGATTTACCTAAAATTATGCTAAATAAACCCACCTGCTACAAAAAGCAGTACAAAATAAAAATATTAAAACATGAACTTTTGATGGTAAAATGGTAGTGTAAATTAGCTTAAGAAAAATAGAAAACAGATCAAAGCTACTTTTTTTTGTTGTTTGTTTGTTTTCCCCAGCATATAGAATGAGATATAACTGATTCTATGCTATTTATGTCTTTTAATTTGATCTGTTTCATTGCACATTTTCTTTTTTGTCCAGTTAGTAAGTTTAGTACCATACTAAATATTATATAAACAATAACTTTTTTAAAAAAAAAAAAAAAAACACTCATATTTTATCATCGTGTTCTTCCCCACTTTTTGTGTCATCTCCTTTTTACAGAGATTAACACAGATTCAAACTAGATTATTATTATTTTGATTATTCTACAAGACAGAAGAAGAATGCATGATAGAGAATATACTGTTTTTTGCCATTGAAGAACAATGTTTGGGGTTCTCTATTCACTTGCACTGCTGCAATTATTTAGAAAGAAATGTATTTAACCACTACCAAGTAGCCTAAGGATAACACTTGTGGTACAGGAAGGGATGGTGCTTAGTTTCTTTTTCAGTTGGTTATAGAATTGCTTTGGTTCTTTCCAAAATTGATTTTGAAAAAAGTTATGAAGTAGAAATCCACAATGTATTTAAAGTATATGTTCTATTCTACTAAAAGCATAACACATTTTTATATATTGTCATCGATTCTCGATGCAAATATGCCTTAGGAATAAAATGTGAAAATTTTATTTGGTATTGTTAATATTTTGAAGAAGGTTTCATAAATGACTGTGTTCTATCATTTTATAGACAGATTAATACACTAAATTCCCCCCCACCATTATTTTCTGGAATACAATGGAAATCATAAATAATAATAATAAAAAAATAGTGCACTTTTAGCTACATAGGGCAAAATTTTCACATGGAGGACTTCTTACTGTTGGTTGCCACTTTCTGCTAATGACCAATACCATGATCTTGGTATCCTTTAAAGAACAAATTTTTTACAGGCATAGAACTGAGAAAGCTAATCTGGGAAGACTATTTCAATTATTACAAAAATTGAAATAAACTCTATAAGGAAAAAAAAAAAAAAAGGAAAAGAAATCATAAATCTTTGTTTTTCTACCTATCAGTATAATGACAACACCGAACTTTTTCAGAATGAATATTCCATTTCAAATAATAAAGACAAAAAATCCCAGAGATCATTTGAAGAAATTCTCAATGAGTTTAGATCTGATGATATGCTTCATAAAACCGAGGTTGTTATTAGCATATTTTTCAACACAAAGTGTTGTTTTTCTCAGATAACACTTCAAACCTTGAACCAGAAAACACTGAAGGACTAAATAGGGATTTATTGTTCTGGATGTGATGAAAGAATGATAAAAGTCTTAAAGATACAGATAAATTATGATTTCTCCTTGAAAAGATCTCTTGGGGTGCTTGCAATAACACATTCTCTGGAAAACTATATTATTGCAATGATTACTCAACACTGTTATTCACGGGTAAGAAGTAGCTTCATTGTTCAATGAAGTAAAGAAAGATTTCTCTCCTATGCTTAAAACCATGCATCTGATGCAAGCTAAACCTATCATGTCAAACTGATAGACCTCTGGGTGAGAGGATTAGACTGACCCATTACTATAGAGGCGAATTAAGCATATGTATCTATGTATTGTATTGCATTCATTCTCCTTTTGCTTTGATTTTTATGTGGTAGAAGTACAGGCAAAGACTCAAATCCATATTTTCACCAGATTCCACAAACACCTCTGTGGATTTTGAGCAGAAATGTCAGTAAGAACATTGTCTACCATTTTAAATGGTAATTTGAAGGGAAAAGTAGAGGGCTCAGAAAACAAGCATTTTGTATTGTGATTTAAGTAGTAGAATAACCCATGTATTAAGAAATACAGAGAAACCAATGCAAAAATACCTACTTAATTTTCAATCTTATAAAAATGATCAAATGACAAATTTACAGCAGGATGCACTTGACATATAAAAATAATTACCTGAAGAAGAGAAAATCTGCCTGACATCCCTGCTTTCAAGCTGTCTGCCACACTGGCAGTAATGTGGAACAGTATAACTTTTGTGTTCAACTTCAGCAAATATCAAGATGTAAAGTGTAACACAGAGTTTATACTGTAATGCCAGTTTTATGAAACTAAGTGGCAATCTCAGATTTTATGCATCAGTAGGACATTGATTGATGGTTGCAGGTCTCCAAAAATAAATTTGCCTTAACTTTATTGCTGTTTATATGCATGTCATGAACAATAGTGTAGGACTGCAGCCAAAGAGGAAAAGGAAAAAAAAGACACCCTCTCCCTAGCCCCCAAGATTTTTATTGCCTCATCTTATTTTCTGTAATTTTAGAGGCTTTAAAAGGGTGAAATAAACCCTTGGCAGTTCTACTACCTCAGCGCTAGCTTTTATGTTAACTTCTAATATTATAAATCATGGCAACTGTGTAGCTAGGTATTACCACTGCATAGTGAAGGAAAGTTAAAACAGAATTCATTGATGAACTTTCCTAAATGATTTGTAAGAGTGCAAAATGCCTCAGGTGAGTATCCTACTCAACAGAGCATAAGTAATGTTCTAAATTAAATTGAAAGGGGATAATTTTGGGGCTATTTACTCTCTTATGACACCTCTGTCAGAAGGAATTTGTGAAGCAGGATATGCTTCACCACCCAAAATAGACTGTTACATCCATGTTTTACAAAAATTTGCAAAAATGAATGCCTGTGCTCTATAATTCTGTTTCTTTTATTTTGGATACTTTCATATCTGGGGGATGTTCTTCTCCATTGCTAAACATCATGAAATCCTTACAAGTAAAATATTTGAGAAATGGCAAAATGTCTTTCTGTGCCTTGCCATAATTCAAAGACACATAATTAAGTAAACGCTAAGTAAAAAACATATTTTATAACTTTTTTTTTTTTTCCAACTGGTTGCTGAACAGGTTTAACAGTAGATTAGTGGATACTGGGAAGCCCAGATGTTCCTAGAAGGTCTCTGTACTACAGGATTTATGAAGTAGATCTAAGGTGATTTATTACCTGGTGTGATGTACCTGTGTTTTGGAGCTCTGTAGGGGCATCTTTTTTAGTACGTCTTAACATTTTGGGTATTAGCTCACATAACTATAGACCATAAATGCGAGCAATCTTTACAATATCTTCTTCATCTTGTGTATTTCTAGACCACTTTGGTAGGTAAAAAATTAAATCTCCACAAATCCTTCTGTGTTCTTTTTTTTTTTTTTTTTTCTCCTCACCTTTGTAGAGATATCTCATAAGAGATAGCATGATAAAGAATAAAAGCACACATGCACACACAAAAAGCAGTTTCTTTTCTATCAAACATCGAATCGTTATAACAGCAATTTGGTTTTGATTCACAGGAAAAATATAGAACCAGTGTTTTAATTTGCAAGCAAAGATGCCCAAAGAAGACTTTTGAAAACAAATGAATTTAGTAGTCCTAATAGCTAAATAAAATTAGTCTTCATCAAATTCGTATTAAAAAATCCAGTCTTTCATTCTTTGTTTCTTCTTTATGTCCTAATTTAACAAAATAAAGGATTAAATAACCGAACTTAGGTTGTAGTGGTATTTTCCTACTTTATGGGTTTTTTTTTGATAATTCTTACTTTGTTGTCTTTATAGGCAAGGTAATGGAGGAAAGTCAGAGGAAACAGTGCCATTTCTATACAAGTGGAGTGTGATAGATTTTACAGTGTTTTTAAAATCCTACTGTCCCAATCAACTTTGCTGAATATCTTCTGAATGTAGATGTACTTTACTAGATTTGTAGCTGTCGTTTTCAGAGGATTTTTGATTATTAATTTGTGTACTTTTCTCATTTCTATCTTTTTTAACTTGTAATTTGGGTTATTAATTGCATCTTCTACTCTGTCTTCTTCACGGAGACTGAAGGTCTTCTTAATTCCCACTGAAATTTGTAGCAACTAGGAGAATTGTTCATCTATAGACAAATAGGAAATTTAGTGTGAAATTTAGTGTGTTAGTTTGCTGGTCTTGTTTTCTGTGTTTTTCCTTCTTATGAACTACTACTAATCCTTCCCTAGTAATTCTTCTTTTTGCTTAAATATAATCTAGGCTAAAAATCATAAATGTTGCTCTGCATATCTGTTTTGCTCCCACAAATGGTAGTTGGGTAAAATCCCATTTGTTTTGACTTAGAAACTTGAAAAATTAGAAATAAAGTGCAAAAGATGGCATAAAATATCCTGTCTTTTCTGGTTCCTTTGGTCCAAATCTGGTATATCTGATAGATTTTGGATACTTCTAAGAACCCCTCATTCTGTAGGATCCTTTACCAGATATATGCTTATTTGCTGCTATGACAGCTCTTCCTAAAGCAAAAATACATATTACTTGGCCATCTGAATACACAGGCCAGAGAACCATCTGGCAGCTGGTGTTTGAAAGAGGTAAATTACATAATCTTGAAGCCACATGAGCATGTGAGAATTTTGGCTGATGACTTTCAATGGTATATACCACTGCACCATTTCTACATAAAGCAGGAGAAAAAGAAGTACAAATATCAAAACACTGGGAAATATATATATATAAGTGGCTAATAGGGTGTGTAGGTGCATGTGTTTTCAGTTATTCTGTTTTTTGGGGGTTGGGTGCTTTACTGTTCACAGTCCAGAGTGACAGTAGTTGTCAATGCCAGTATTTCAAATAAATGACTATAACTCTTCTCTGTTACCACATGGTTAAAAGTATACATGGATTGTATTCTGTTTTCATAAAAAGTGTTCTTCTGTTCAGAGTGCTTTCCAGAAAATATGGGAAATATTGTTTCAGTCAACTTCTCTGCTGAATGCACTCAAGGACCAATTTCTTCCTTTCCAAGACTACATGAAGCAAGAAGCGAAGCAATATGTATGCATCCCACTGTTTCGACTGATAGTATGGGACTGGGCAGAAAGACTTCTGTAAAGGTATGAAACAGACTCCAGCTCAGCTCTTAGAGTATTAAGTATGGAGAGAGGACTTGGTTCCCCCAAGTGCAAAGCCAAAAGGCAAGAGCTGACAGCTTTGGTATTCTGGGTTTAATCTTGGAGCTATTAGAGCTATTTGTTTTTCGAGCTTCAGGTTCTGGTACAATCTCTGGTGGTGGTGGTGAATGTACCTTTCTGATACTGCATATATCTGTAACTGCTGCAGACAGACTGACGCCTGTGATATGGAGAGAAAGAGACCTCCCTCTCACGTGGCTGCTGTTTAGTTTGCTGTCTGAGCTCTACTTGAATTTGAGTGGAGAGAATTTGCACGAGCCCAACTTGCCATAAAACAACTGATCCAGATATTTATTTTATGAATGAAAAATTAGTCTCTGGATTTTCAAGTGGAACTATCCTCATATTTGTGTATATAATAACATGGAAAGAGACTGTTGATCTTTGTTTCATATCGTCAAGTTAAAAAATACAAACACTGACTCCGTGTTTTTAGGGTAGTAATATGTTTGTTAGCACACTATGAGCAATATGCTACAAATATAACCTAGTTAGTAGAACTACATCTGTTAATGGTATTAATTAAAGGTATAAAGTTAATCATAATTTTAAATGCTAGGTCACTTTTCACTGCTGGGAAGAACACTGGCAGTTTTCGCATGGTGGACAGTTCTGAAAAAGTGACAATTATGTGATCGTTCCTGTTTCCCAATATTGAAGACAACTGTAACTGTTCCAAAAATATACTAGGAAAACTACCTTAGGCCATATTTCTTGTTCTACATTTAAAAGTCATTACAACAATGGAAGTTTATTATATATCTTAATAGACATGTTTCTGTTATGACAGGTAAGTGATCTTGAAATTTTGTCTCTTGTTAACATTGAAATGGAAGTATATACTGGACAACGTTGTCATGCCTGATATTTCAGAACACGGAACTGACAGCAGTTGTCGGGAAAGACTGAGTGGCAGTCATAGGATGCACACAATACCTGATAGTCCAGTTAAGCTGTATACCTGGACTGGAACTCCAGATCAGCAGTGTACTTAAAATGTGCTGAATTTTAAATCTCTCTGAAATTAATAAGCTTTAAAAAAGACCTTAAACTGAAGGAAATAGTTAATTGCTATATTGAATCATTATCTATGGGGGTGTTACTTCATAGAGCAGAAAAATAGGCTTGGAAGACTGATTCTGTAAGTATTCCTGTAAACTAAAAATGAACATTTCTGGGTGGTGGATAAGGTGGATATCAATTATTTTTATTCCTGTTTTTCTTCTTCCTGTTGACTGTAGTAAATGATAATAAACATTTGAAAAATGTTTAGAAATATAGAGGAAAAATAGAAATCTCCCCATAAAAATCTGAGGGGAAAACAGTGAGAGTGGTGTTATGATCTCTGAAGCAGGAATTTGTAGTCCAGCCTTTTATGTCTGTTTATTTTTAGATAGCAGGAAAAAAAAATCTTTGAAATTTGAAGGAAATAATTTCCAGTCAATGTCATGGTTTGGCTGCACATGAGAGAACCAGTGTTGCAATCATATTAATGCTTTCTGGTTTTGCTGATTTGACTCAGTAGCTCTTGTTACTGCTTCATGCTACTACCTTATTATTTATTCATGTACGCTACCCAGAACAAACATTTCTTTGTGTGTGTTTAGGTTTTTATTTTGCCAAAGAAATGCTCAACAAATTTTTATCTAAAATAAATCAAGTTTCATGTGTAGGTTTTCAGTCTTTCTGAGGACTAGATTCTTTTTACAAAAATCATTTCCAACTCCAGAACAGATGTATGTGTTTACTAAGATACAAATTGTTTTGCAAATATTTAAGATGACAATCACATGGACACCACTGTTTATATGATATCTCAATATATGTCCCAATTTGGAAATAGAATGATTTCCAAAAAAATTGTGATTTTTTTGTAACCACAGAACATGGCTAATGAAGTGTACAAACAACTTTAAATAACTTCATCATAGTAATTTTTGTTAGATTTTGGGAATGCTACTTGCGTTAATTCATATACAAAAGTAATACATATTAAGTGTAGGAAGATTGCTCTTTTTTTCTTTATTATAAATATTAAAACACATGAAGTTACACAGTTGTTGTTCTGTCTTTGGCCTTAAAGATGATTACTTGATCATTCTTTCATTTTGTTGCAGCTTGCTGTTGCTAGTGATTCATCTTCAAATCATCTCAGTCAGTTCTTAGCTGAAAAGCTAATTTTACTTACGTATAAATACAATTTCATTTTATTCCCATTGACATTTGAACCTTTGTGCATCCATTAAGCCCTGTTCATTGTTCAAACAACCCCCATTGTTCAAACAATCTGATCTGAATATTAATAAAAGAAGTTTTCAGAGTTCATTATCTCTATTTGTACTCTTTTTTTTTTTTTTTTTTTTTTTTTTTTTTTTTTTTTTTTTTTGGGTGGTGCTTGTTTGTGATATACTTTACATTTCAGAAGTCAAAAAAGTCAGGTTACTGGTATTCCTATGCAAGTACCTAATTTATAGGAAAAAAAAAAAAAAGTAAACGGATTGATGGGGGATGCACAGATATAAAAGGCAGAAATTAAAATTGTTATGGGGATAAGTAGTTATGTCTTTGATTTTCATTTTATCTGGTACTGGCATTTAGTTCTAGTCTATGCAGATAAAGTCTGCATGTATTTGATAGTAATAATCTTCCACTTAATTTATTTGTTCCTTAACCACTGAAGGTTAAATAAGAGACAAGATGCAGCTGGCCAGCCTTGCCAAATGTAACTGAGAATGTTAGGGCAAAATTTTGAGAAGAAAATGCTGTTTATTTTTTCAGACTAGTTGAGGAGAACAAGCTGGGGAAGGAATTAACATAGTAAATGCTTTTAAAGCATCATAAAAATATCTATCTAGAATTAAGCCATTATTTTCTGGTAGATTTTCACTTATCTTCTCAACCCTGCTGAAACCTTTCAAATTCAAACCTTTTTAAAACACATTTTGAGTTTTCAGTGCCATGACTAGGCTGGGCTTTATTTGGTAATTATTTTATAAAGGTCTTGCTTACAAAACAAACAAACAAACAAAAAAAACAACAAAAAAAAACCCTGATGTAAATTAGTTTTCTCAGCCTATGATTCATGTACATTCAAAAACCTGAAATGCATATTGAGGTTTTTGCATTAGATTCAAAGCTAGCACTCTTGAAAATAAATTCTAATCTGTGTGAAATATAAGTGTCCCCTGTGGTTGCACATAACTAATGATGCAATCTTCATTCCTATTTAGTGTAACATTTGGTAATATTGGATTAATACTGAAAGTTATGAAGAAACTTAGGCCAGGACAATTGTCTTGTTATGCATTCTTATTTTGGCATTCAGCCTTACCTAATATACCAGTGTAACAGGGCATGACATGCTGTCAGGGTGATTTGACAAGCCTGGGAAATTTCAAAGACAGTATTTGCGTAAGATTTTTTATTTATTAATACCATTTTAAACAATTGCTTAAATAAGCTTGCTAACCTGTTTGCATAGTTCATTGGAGACAGTCAGCACAGTGCTTCTCAGCATTTATTTCCAGCAACTCAGAGTTGGCATCCTATATGGAACAACTGGAAACAAATAGCACAGGGGCTCTGATTTTCTTTAACTTCCTCAACTCTGTATGATTAATTTGCATAATAAAGCCTTATGGCCTTGATCTTAATTAGATCTTCTGGCTTTTATGAAAATATAAATAGTAATTGCATCTTTTTTTTTTTTAAATTTGAAATTTGCTGGGATATTTGATGGGATATCATTTTGTGTAGGAGAGACCAAGGCTCTATATCAGATGGCATTTACAGGATATGTCTTTAGTGCTGCATTCATGCATTACACTCTCAAGAATGAGGTTATTCATGTTGTGTTTGTGGGTAATTATTTATTTTGCATCTTTAAATATTTGCTTTGTTACTGCTATTATTCTGCCTTTCCAGAAGTGTCTTACTGGCCCCTAATTTTTTCAGATAGTAACAATTCATAAAAAAAAAAAAAAAAAAAAAAAAAAAAAAAAAGACAATAAGACTTGTTTTGTGATCCTGTAGTATTTATAGTAGGATCTCCTTTCTTATAGATTTCTTATGGGATCTAAAAGTTCTTTTAAACTTATGTTCCCAGGAAAGATGTTCATTGTTTTTGATATCTGACTGTAGTGTCTCTGGAAAAACTGTCAGGTAGCATTGAAATACATGACATTATGCGTAAATGGTTGCAATAGGCAGACATAATTAGTTTGATGCCGATTCAGTAGCAGATCTGTGTGGGCATAAGTAGACTTAATAAGCTGTATTTCAGTATGTATGTGTGTCATGTTGTTATACAGTTGTGTCTAACAACTCCCAAGTTGGCTCTTTGGTCTTGGAGGCTGGCGCTAGGTCACAAAGAGCCATGTCTCACATCCATTTAGCTTCAATGACCAAATTCTGGCAAGTAAGAAAGTGCACAGACTTTTATTTAATTAATTAATTTATTATTATTTTTAACATGTATTGTTGCTACAAGCTGAAATGAGTTGGTATCTTTCCAAGACAGTATTGCACTTATAACAGCACTGCTCAGTGGATAGTTTTGTCAGAAGTCCTGCCTTCCTCCACAGATTGAAAAAATTTCCTTAGATAAGTAGGCATCTAGAGCTGTGTATATGTCAGAAGCTCATTATCCAAGACCCTGAGTTATAACTAAAAAATGAATCATCATCTCTAAATGTCTCTAAACTTTGCAGATAGAGTACTGACAGATTGTGTTTAGTGGGCAAGGATTACAACTTTGTATTTTGCTGGTTCTGGATAATTGTGTGCTCCATTTTGATCTCCCTTTAAATTCACTTCATGCAAGCATAACCATGTAAAATGCAATAGAGTGGAACCAATCTGTCCTAGCTAATACCAAATCTCTAGATGTGTATCCATGTTTTTAGGCTTGTTCTAGGATTGCATTAATAGTTACTATCTTTTTGTTTACCAATCTAATATTTGATATAGATTTTTGTAATCTGTTGCTCTTGATTCCATAACAGTCTACAGTAGGAGAGATAAGTACTTGATAATATCAGAAAGCTTCCTATTAACATTAAAAAAAAAAAAAAAGATATTTAAAAATTCAGAAAATGAGTCATTATCCTGGTGACTTTTGCTCACATGGCAAAACTCTGGCAGTCTGAAGAACACTTTTCCCAGGATTATTTTGTTTTCTTTCAAGTACAATATAGAATCTCAATACAGAATTACTCAGCTTCCTATGTTTCTTAGCAAATTATGGTTAAAAAAAAATCAGCAAGCAACCTAAAATGTTTCTCTTTGTTAGATATTTTCCTGTCTCATTAATATCAAATCTTTCATATCTTTTGTAAATGTATGTCTCTCTTTACTAACACTTGATATCAGCTATTTCTGATATTAAGTGTCCACAGTAAATGGTGATATTCACAGTCATAGTAATTCTTAAATATATTGGACAAATTAGTTTTGATTATGATCATAGTCCTCTGGAATTATTGCAAGTCTGTTTGTTTGTTTGTTGTTTTTCTTTCTTTTTTTTTTTGTTCTCTTTTCCTTTTTTGTTTTGTTTTGTTTTTCTGTTGGTTTCAGTTGAGTTTGGGTTTAAGCCTCATGCTCTGAACTGCTTATGTAACTTAACCTGTATTGCAAGGATCATGAAAAACTATAAACCTTATTCTTCATTTTTAATTCCCTTTGGGATTTTTTTTGATGTCAGTCTTTTCTAAAACTTCATAGTGATAATGACTGAAAACTGGAAAGGATAACAAAAATTCCTGATCAGTTTACTTTATTTACCAAAAATAAATAAACCAAGAGCCACAGAATCCTATGGTGCTGATATGTATCGTTGAGATTAGTAGTAGTGCAAACTAATTAGGAAATTATTTTTCCTTAAAAATGAGTTTCCTTTCTCCTATTCAATTATTCTGGTTTTATGCTCATAAAAGCATATTACAATATCAAATTTTGGATTTGGCCCTTCTGCTCTAGCTGATATTGTATCTATCATGTCATTACTTTTATTGTAAATTTCATTAATGAGGTCAAGGAAGAGCCTAATATTATTGTTTGAGTGTCTTTTCTTTATGAATTAATTTTGGTAGGAATCAGTTCTAATCATTTTTGCTACTACTTGTGTGCGTATTTTGCAGACTGCATTAATTAAGAAAATTAGCCTATAATTACTGCAGTTACCCATATCCTACCAGGTTTCAAAATTACAGAAATAATTATGATCCTAAGAGAGTCAGGCAACTTTTCAAATGCTGCATTATAGATGCTACACTAAATGCCATGAAAGACTTGACTAAAATATCAATGCATCTCGGCAAAAAAAAATAATGTCTTTCTGCAAAAAGATTTGGGTAAAGACAGAATTATTTCAGTTGAATTTGCAAAAAAGTCTTTAGTTTTGAAGGTCTGTGTGTTCTGCTTTTCTGCTACTGAACTGAATCTTCTGATACCCTCAGAATACTGTTTTTCATAGTAAATGCCCAATATTATCTTAATTTGTGTTTGTTTCTTTATAAACTTTCAATGGTGGATGGAAATATCTATAGAGACATTTGAGTCAGGGAGAAGAGGAGAAAAGGACTTAGAAAATTACGTTTCTCAGAACAGTGATTTCTTCAACAATGGTAAAAATCAAGTGATTTTCATATACTGTATTTTACTATATGTACAATTTTAATATTTCTTTCTCTTTCTTTCAGTATAATGTACATATACATATAAATAAAAGCAGATAACATGATGAAATTATAAAGACTCATGAAGGTCCTCTGTACTTTCTGTTACTGTTCTTGAGCTTAAGGATGCAGTGATGGCTTGCATGATGCAGTCAACTTGTACAGCACCGTTGATTCAGTCTCAGGTTGTGCAGACCAAAGTAGCTGAAGGAATGGGACACATGGAGCAGGGCTGAAATGTGAGGCTGTCTTCTCTCCTATTTTTACTGGAAATAAAGATGTGAGAGAGAGGGAAAAGGAAAGCAGCTACAGAAAACATACTCAACACCAAGGTAGTATGGTGATTCAGGCTGTCAGAGTCGGCCTTTTCTGTGGTCACTAAAGACGTTATATAGGCTAACTCATGTCACATTGTAAAGAAGCCTATAGATTCCTCTACTGCAATGATTTATTTTTTTCTGTGAAACAAAAAGATGATCCTGCAACTTGATTCTTAATTAAACCTTATACCTGAATGTTCAAAAGGGTTGCTAATAGGGCCATGACTTCTTTTCTGTGCTCTCTGTATTTCTTGCATCTTATGGATAGTCTATTAATGTTATTTTTTTCTCCCCATTTCTTCCAATACCAGTTAAGCTTTATCCATTTTCAGAAAGATCTGTTTATTCCAGGCTCTGTTATTTCAGGGGTGGCATAAATCCTCTATCCTTTTCTAACCTTCTTAATCGATGCCTAGCTATACTAAGGAATATCTCTTTTTTTTTTTTTTTTTGCTATTACTATGTTATTTTTGTGTTCACATGCTATTTTATATTTGTGCTTCAACTTTACTTGTTTCATTTTCTAAGAGTTTTTAATATATTCTGTTTTCCATCTGTGTCTTGATGAAAGCTGTCACAGACACCCATAAACCCTGTGACAGCCTGGTGTCTCAATGCAATGCCGGGTTAAAAAAAAAAAAAAAAAAAAAAAAGTACAGGCTGAAAGTAGTTTTTATCCTATTACCTTATGGCAACATTGTAGGTGAATGGTTCAAAAAGGAAGTGATGGAGGATTTAGTGCCAGTTGCAGGTAAGCAAGGGTCAAGCTTTGCTCTCTAAAAGTAACCTGAACCTTCCTTGTATCTGTCTGTGACAGGGACCTTTCTCATGAATAACTGGGGTCATATCACTCACAGATGAACATGATGATGTGTATCAACTGGTCAGAATTTCCTTTTTGCATGTGACCACCTATTTTTGGAGTATCTGGAGGTGAGGATCAAGTATGTCTACAGATAATCGATGTAAGCAAAAAAGGAAACATGAAGCAGCTGTCTAAAAGGCTAAATAGTGAGAAATGCAAAAAGGGAGAGAGAGATCTCATCTTCAGAAAATCTGATCCTTAAGTTACTAGATATTGCAAAGAAAAACAAATAATGTAGAATTTGTCCCTTATGCACTTGCATAGGTTTACAGGAAGAATGGCTCTCGTGACTAAGTCATTTTGCATTAGTCTACTTGAGGTGCCCAAATCTTTTCTCCTCTAAGAACCAATGAGATAACACAAAGAACTTTTTTTTTCCTATTTTCACACATCTCCTAGAATTATGACTAACCACCTTTCATTCTGACAATAAAAATTATACATATTTGATATAAGCCTGTTTCTAGACATTATATAGTTATGTATATATCTTTCACTCCGAGAATTTGTCATTTTTATGTTATAATCTTAGCAAGATTGAGGTGGGTTGTATTATAACTTGTATTGATATTTTAGAGGATATGAGAAATTTGGGTTAAACTTCATTATTGGTGAGAACCCAAGGCTTCATATTTGAAATATTCTAGAACTGTTAGAACGCTAGAAAGCATTGCCAGCCACACCATTACTTTTGATTTAACAGAGAGTAGCTGAATCTGTTTCTTATGAGGAACCCCTATGGGTTTGTATTGGGAATATTTGTAGTGAGTCTACCACATTGGTCTTAAACTCTTTTTAAGTGTTTTTTTTTTTTTTTTTTTTTTTTCAACCTGGTTTTGAGTCTCATTTAGGTTTAGGCATGAAGGTTATAAATTTTAGACAATTCTAAAATAAAATAAGATAGTATCATTCTGAAGTTACGTATCTATTCCCATCTTTTTTTTTTTTATTTTTTTTTTTAGCTTTTCACATTTTTACTGTTTTTGTGATCAATGGCTGTTTGCTTATTTCTTTATCAGTGCCTATTGATGTTTATTTATTTATTTATTTATTTTTCCCAAACATTTGAAAATTTTTAAGTTTGCCCTATAATTTTTTGAGTGGGCATTGCAATGGTTGCACACTCACAGGCTTAGATTCTGGTCAAGAGCTGCTCATGTAAGAGACCTAAAAGGTCTTGGTGACCTCAGAATTCACATTATACAGTGCATAAATATATGCACAGTTACAGTGCATATGCAGTTGAATGCATTGTATTACATAAAATATGCTAAATTTTAAGTATAGAGGTGTTAAAAGAAGTATTTTTAATCACTGAGAATGAAAACAAGTAGGATCTGTAGAGGTTTTACCTTGCTAGACAGCTGAACTCCACCACAACCACTCTCTCACTCCCCCTCCTCAGAAAAGGATGGGAAGAATAAAAGAAAAAAGCAATTCATGGGTTAAGATAAGGATAATTTAATTAAAGAAAAAATAATTATTAAGGTCAAATTATTGATAAGGGAAAATTAAATAATTTAACTAAATGGAAAAGGAAGGCGGGGGGAAAAGAGGGTGGGAGGAGGAAAGCAAAGGCTGTGTGGAAGCACAGAGAGAGAGGAGAGAAGTTATTCTCTTCTACCTGAGCGATGCTTGTACCTGAAGCAGGGCATCAATACACACAGCTGTTGCTGGGGAGGACAGACATTTTCATAATGAGAGCCCTCCCCTCTCCTTCCCCTTATCCACCTTTTATTGCTGAGTGTGAACCACATGACATCCCTTTGGTTGGCTTAGGCCAGCTGCCCTGGTGATGTCCCCTCTCCACTTCTTAACCACGCCTGCCTGCTGGCTCCTGGGGTGTGGGGGGGGAGGGAGTCGTGATGCTGTGCCAGCACTACTCAGCAGTAGACAAACACTGATGTGATACCAGTGCTGTTCTAACTACAAGTGCAGAGCACAACTCTATATGGGCTGCTGCAGGGAAAGTTAACTCCATCCCAGCACAGATCTCTTAAACCTCAGAGATTAAGTACTAAGAAAATTAATCAGTGGGTAAATAAATAAATAACAAAACATGTTTTTACTACTTCTGTTTTTTTGTAGGTAATAACTTGAGTAACCTAGATGTCATCATCAAGTTGGATTAGCAAATACATATTATAGTCTGACAGTTTGGCATTCCTACACTGATGAATATAAACCTCTTGAAGGAGAAGGCCGAATTTGCAAAGGATTCAACCTGTAGTGTACAACATGACATAACATTTTAATATTTCTGATCACCTAAGATGAATTCTAATGAATACATTCTTATAAGCTAGATCATTTAGTGAACATAAATTGTTCCTCTGGTAACTGTTTGTGAAAAAGATTCTTAATAAACGAATCACTAAACCTTTGAAAGCTTCCTCATGCATGCATTTACATGCACTTATAACAAAGCTAGCACAAGTTGTTGGAATATTAACATGAAACCCAGAATCCAAACAAATTAAGGAATATTTTTTGCCTTTCCTTGTTATTTGAGTAAAGCGCTACTTAGATCACCTTTTCAAGGCATGAAAAGACTGTTTGGAACAGACCAGAGGAAAAAAAATGAGGAAGAGTCGTATCTTTCATATGTCTGCTTACTAAAGAATTTTCACTGAGGTGATATTTCTGGAGTTAGATGAGAATAAACTGTAACCTATTCTATGGGGCACTCTCCTAAGAGCTGCAAAGCTGAATGATCATGTGCACTCACTTCATAGCAGGAGTAGGAGCAAAGTTCTTCACAATCTGAAGTAAATGCCCTGTATAACAGGATAAGGAATTAATATTTGTTCAGCTAGAGGAGAATAGATTATTTATGTCAGCTAGAACCACTACAAAAACAGGTTTCTATGAAGCATATTCATTAGGGCACCCTGAATAAATAGATTTGAATCTTTATCTTCAACAAAGTATTTTTCTGAATATATCTCAGAGTATCTGAATCTGACGTAAGTGAGAGAGTGGAGTTTTCTACATCTAAAATTCAAAGCAACAGAAAACAGCCAATAAAATATTAACGTTATTTGAAATTTTCAAGAAACTGTTTTGGGAACAAATCTACTTAGCTTTCTTGTTAGCTCAAAGTAGTTTATGGGTGATGAGAAAAATCTGCAAAAAAGTAAAAAAAAAATAAAATATTAAGCTTATATTAGTTAATTGCTAGATTACTATGGAATAGGCATTTTCCTTTGAACTACAATGTTATGTGAAATTTATATTCTACAATATTAAAGAATTTGCATCAGTCATGACTCAGTTTTTATTATTTACCTTGGAATATGATGATATAAATGCATAGTACTGGCAGCACAGAAAAAAAAAGTCATAAGAACAATCAAGTGGCTTTACTTTTCAAAAAAGAACTCAAAAAATCATTCTTGATTCTTGACCATTCAAAATGAACAAAACCAAGCTTTAATGACTCTTTCAATACAAACTACAAGAGATGATAATTTATTATTTTTTTTAACTTATATGAAGGTAGTTATACATTTGGAAAGGACGGTGCAAGACCTGAATAAAGAGCTCTTTCCTGTGTTCTCTCATCATGATTTTTAGACAGCAGTATACTTCTGTACTGAAGATATTTTCAGTATTTCATATTAATCAAATGATTTGCTTATATGTGTTCTTTCCTGAATCACCTATTGAACTACATTCATTGTCTATCAGAAATTTCCTGACAATATAATTAAGCACAGAGCTATTTAGACATTCCCCTAAATTGTTTCCAAAGAATGAGCACTGATGAAGTTTCTATTGAAAACTCTCAAAATCGACCTTGGAAGCCTTCATATTTTACTTATTATTTCTTTGCACTTGAAAATTAACTCTCACTAAATTCACAATCTGCTCACAGATTTGCAAAGCATTATAAGTCAGTGAAACCATCAACCTTGTTCTGTTTGATAAGGCAGTGCTTCCACATACAGCACAAAATGTCTGTACAACATTGAAATATTTTTTCCCTATTTCTACCTATATTTTTAGAGATAACAGAAATCATGGTGACTGTGTGCTTTGTATTACACCTTCCAGTTTCTTTATTCTCTGCTTTGGATTCCAGTGCAACTGGAAAAACAAATGAATAAACTGATATCTGTTCTGTGCTTCTGTTTGCTCCCATATTATGTGAATAAATTATATAGAATGATCTAAACCAGGCTGTTGAGACAAGGATCAATAGCCCTAGCTGGCTGATAACAGGAATCATTTACTGCTTAAGGTAAGGCAGACCAAAAGTGGGAAACAGAAAAGATACCGAAATTAAGTTCTTGAAAACAAATGTATTAAAATTCTGAGCCAAATGGCTAGGTAGAGAGCTTGGTCAAAAACTAGGCTAGTGTCGTGGTTTAACCCGACCGGCAGCTAAACACCACACAGCCGTTCGCTCACCCTTCCCCCTCCCTCTCTGGGACGGGGGAGAGAAACTGGAAACTGAATCCTGTGAGTTGAGATAAAGACAGTTTAATAAGACAGGAAAATAATAATAACAATAATAATAATAACAATGATGATAATAGTACTACTAATAATAATGTGTACAAACAAGTGATGCACAATGCAATTGCTCACCACCCGCTGACCAATGGCCAGTCTAACCCTGAGCAGTCTGGTCCCCCTCCCCCGCTAGCCACTCGCATGATGTCAGATGGTATGGAATACCACTTTGGCTAGTTTGGGTCACCTGTCCTGGGTCTGTCCCCTCCCACCTCTTGCTGCACCCCCAGCCTGCCTGTTGGCAGGACAGAGCAAGAAGCTGAGATGTCCTTGGCTTGGTATAAGCACTGCTCTGCAACAATTAAAACATCGGGGTGTTATCAGCACTCTTCTCATCCTAAGCCAAAACATAGCATTCTACCAGCTACTAGGAAGAAAATTAACATTGTCCTAACTGAAACCAGAACAGCTAGAGATCAACATCTGTATTGCAGGTTAACAAACGTAAACTGTAGATAAAAGATCAATCTGAAAATCTCAAATAGACTCAGCAAGTTTCTCTGATCTTAAAAACATGTGCATGAACTCTGCAATACAATGATATCCAATGCAGATCTGTGCATCTCTTAGAATAAAATTATTGATCATGGCATGTTTCATTCCACTGTTACCACCACTACAGTCTTTTCCCCACTGTTTGAAATTAATGCATTTCAATATTTATTTATTTATTTTTAAATCTCATCATTATTAAACTTTGTTTAGACTGTGGCTTTGATTTCTGTCCAAGATACACTGGAATCAGAATACATTAAAATTACTTCAGCTGAAACTAGAGGTACTAAGATGCATTTTTTATTTATTTGTTCATTCATTCATTTAAGACAGTACGGTAATATTAATCTAATCTATTTACTTGTGTTGGACTGGAGGTAAGCTGTTGTGATTGTTTTTCTTCTTCTATAAAATAAATGGCCTAACTGTGGCTTCTTGAGAAGAGGATTGCATTTGAAGCCTCAGAAAGCATTTTGTTGTATCTACATATATTTATTTTTTTGGTAATCTATGGGGAGGTTATTTGCTTTAAAAATAAGTAAGACAACATATAATAATTGACTTGCAGAAGTATGTTAAAGGTTCTTTTTTAGCCACCCCTTTCTTTCTCTCTCCTATTTCCAAATTGTGCATTCCTTTGACATGATGAGTACTGAAGAGTTCCAGTAAAATAAAGGACTTAGCACTGTCAAATCTCATCAGCCTCGTGAAAAGAAGCTTGATAGGTCTTTTTGCTATGTTGTTTTATGCAGAACATTATGCCAGATACTGATTATTCAGCTGCCAATAATTCAAGTATGACACCTTTCTTTCTCTATTCTCTATCATATTGCTCAGCAGTCGGTAAATAAAGTGAGGGCTGTATGTCTTTGTCAGCCTGTCAGGCATATAACGCACTCACTGTGTTGTACTCATCAAGTCACCCTCTGCCTACAATATGAATGGAAGTTCTTGGTAACTGTGGCATTGTCTGAAAAGTAATGCCTCCGATGCTTTGTGATGCTTTGTGTTTTTTTTTGTTGTTTTTTTTTTTTTTCCCAGCAAACTTATTCAAAACATCTTTCCAATGCATGTAGATAAAAAACTCTATATAGATTGTCGTGGTCAGACATTACTGAAGTCTCTTATTTGATTAAAATAGTAGCTGCCTGGTTAGTTATTTCATTCCTATGCTTTAGGAATGAAAATCTGAATAGTATTTTGATACTATTTTGTTACTAGTATTGATATATTGATATATCAATATATCAAGATATATCTAGATATATCTAGATATATTTTGATACTATTATGATACTAGTATTAACATTAACCATATATTTAATATGGGAGGGTTAGACTCACATTTGTGTAAGAGCAGAAGTGAGGTCTAAATATGCTTTATAATATCCTCTTATGTGAATATTTATAAAATAACTATAAACTAAAATAATGCCTTTTCTCATTCTCAGTGCTCCATGGGTGAATTTTGTTTTGTATGTCTCTTTTTTTTTTTTTTTTTTAATATAATTACCAATGATATTGGGATGCATAGTCTTAAAAATAATTGCTAAGCTTAGATGGTGTTAATCACTGTGATGGAATGCTTAAAATGCTTCTTCATTTAATTAAATAGGATAAAAATAATTTAATATAGAACATAGATGCTATTTGAGATACTTTTTCTTTGCAAACATTAACCACAGTTCCAGACTCTCCCCCGCCTCCTTTTTTTTTTTTTCTTTTTTAGCATTTTTATTGTAGCACTCAGATTTTTAAATGTGTCAGTGTTTTATCACTTCCCTCAATTTTGTCATGATGCCACCATGGAAAAAATTTCCCCTTTTCAAAACTCACCTGAAATCTTAATCTATTTCAATCCTTATTTTCTTTTTGTGGTTGGGTGGAGGATCAAAAGGGAAAGAATTCCTGAAGAAAGAGAGGAAATAAGTTACTTTTCACTTGCAGACACACTTGTAGGGAAATCTGGAACTAAGAAAAATCTATTCTAATGAAAACGGTAGTAACAGCAGGTGATGATAGCATGACTCCATTTTTCCCCTTTAATGAGTAAGATCCTTAGTAAAATTTTGTTGGAAGGTATTAATAAATCAATTCTATGAAAAACCTGTCATAATAAAATGCCTTACCTTATCAACAGAAAGTTTGTTGTTTTTTTTTTTTTTTCCTCATTCATTACTTGTGTAGGCTTTTACCCTTCCAACATCCCCTGAGTTAACTGGCAATACTGGTTTTCTACAATGATTTATGTATCACATTATAAAATATTAATAATAAAGTACACTTTTACTCAAGTAACCCCTTAAGTCATTTTAATTTGCCCTTTTGTACATTTTTTTGGGGGTAGTTGATACCATTTTATTCACTGATA